AAGAATTTTTGTTATAGTCCTTTCTGAACCTAAGACTATGAAGGATCAATTAAGAATTGTTTTCACCTGACTTGAGACTTTTTTCACGAACGGAATCGTTCCAAAATTATTTACGACTGTATGTGTGACGCGATGTGAAGACCACTCAAGATAATTTTCACGAATTTTCTCAGGGTGATTATCTCCTGACACAGTTGATACTAAATAATAGGCACTGCTAAAATTAGCTCTGACTAAACTCGAATACTGTGTAGATCTTCAACATTACAGGAAAGGGGAGGGGTAAGAGGGACATAAATTGCGGTTAAAATGGAGTCCGATCATCTGGGCTACCATGTTAATCAACGTTCGAGAAGGGTGTTATTTCAAATTAATAGAGGCATGTGAACCTTAGTCGGGAGGGCAAGACTGAACACCTGTGCTCGGTGCCCTCCGCGGACCTGGGAGTGAAATATTCTCCCAGAGCCAAGTTCAGTCAAATCTCGCAACATCAAAGAAGTTGGCCCACAAGGCAGAAATTCAAATTACTCCACAATGTCAATCTTTCACTCCCAAAGAGTCCGATTCTCAACTAAGCTTCATCAAGTCTACAACTACGACCTAGTACATCCTCATCTCAATGACCACACCTCTCGTCGACTTTCTCTGGCCTCAGTTGACCACCAAATACACGGCCATGCCGATATTTGTACCCGACGGAGGAAGCAAAGCGTGGTGCACAAATCTGGGATATGGTTCTTTGAGGTGGACATGAGAGGGATCGGGACAAGTTTAAAAGATGATGCAGAAGAGGGAGACATTGTTAACAGGCGTGAAATTTCGAATTTAGGCAAGAGTTTTACGAATTGAGCTTTGTGCGCGCCAAGACTTCGCTTGCGAGAGTGCAGGCGACACTATAAACACTGCCATGGTTGGATGGTGCGGTGGTACAACGTCTTGGCCGGTCTGCCAAGTAGAGTCTGGACAGCTTGGACACACATCCCCCTCGAGACAGTAGATCGCTGGTTCAAATCCGGCAAAACACAACCACATCTTTCGCGGCGCTGGTATACATGGATGATGAAGGCATGCTTGGATAATCAAAGGTTTTGGAATTCCCTTTGGTGGGTACTTACGGAGGACGATCGACTGTGTAAGCGAACTTACCTCATAGTGGTATTTGCAAATGAAATCCAGAGTGTGAGTGTCTCTAACGTCAAAAGTGTCATCCAACATGTATACATAGTACCGGTCATGTGTTCAAGCTCTATAGCTGAATACACATTAAATGGGTTAAAAAAAAAAGGTAGTATAGTTCAGAATCAATACCTGTGGAGGACCGGCAGAATCTATCTGAAAGTGGCTAGCTATATTCGGAAGTTTTAACCATGTATTATGGAAACTTTATTCTTCGAAGCAGTGAGGAACAGTATCATGACGTTAGGTCTGAACCAGGTATGGCTGGCAGGTAAAACACTCCAAAGATTTGCGGCGAGTTTCTTTTTTTTTTTTTTTTGAATCATTTAATGTGTATTCAGCTATCTAGCTATGACACATGACCGCGGCGAGTATCAAACACACTAAGTGTTGAAGTCTAAAGCTAAATTCTGATTAGATATGCTGTAGTGTGCCAAAGAGAAAAAGGTGATTGTGTGTGTAGCTAGAATTATTATGTATAAAGGTTCAACGCCATGACATGCAGAATAGTCCCGGCCTATTGAAATGTATAACCCACTACTTAATTCGTGGACTTATTGGTAGAGGGAAGCTTATGCAATAATGAAGGATAAAAGGATGTCAATTCGATAACTCTATCAAACACAGGTACCAGACTTCTTTTAACCCCAATAGATAGCCCGTGCGAGATCTCCTAGTAACAGCAGTAAACAACGCTAGCACAGGGTATACACAATCTCCGTTCGCCAAACACCAGTCGGTCAGGACTACTAATTATCGAGCCCAGTAGGATCGACAAAGTGTATCCCAACACAGAAATCATAGAAAACTCAACAACCAAACCCTTCATCAATTCGAGAAATCCGAAATTTCATTTTTTCCCTCTTTCCTCCCTCCTCGACCTCGTCGCATCCATCTCTGAATTGTGAACGAGCTCAGGCATTTTCACCATGCCTCCAGTTCGAAAAAAGCGTCCCAACGCCAAGTTGGACAATACGAGAGTCCACCCGAGGGCTCTCGAAAAATTATCTGGCCTTGCCCAGTCTCCGAAATTCGCGGAGATGAGCGAGACCTCTACTAAAGGGAAGGAAAAAGCCCTCCCCGCCGTCACTGAGCCCGATACTGACATGGTCGGGTCAGTTGAAATTGTTGAGGAAATCCCTCAACCACCTTCCGTCCCCCACGGGATTGGAGAATCGTCAAAATCTCCCCCGACCACATCAAAACCGTCGGAGAACGCTGCGCCCATAGCAGCGTCAAAATCAACGTCGCAGCCCAAAGCTGCAACGAAAGCAGAGTGTCCCCTCGAGCTCCGACCAATAGTCGAAGCTGAACAACGACGCGCCGCTGAAACAGCGGCAAATCTGGCCCTCTGCTCCGCCGCCATCTCTGGCGTCGAAGCCACCCTTCTTCCTTTGAACAACAGGTCAAACAGACAATTTGTATACTCGATGAGAGTCTACCTACGCGCCGCCATAGCGCAATACATGGCCACGGGCCCGGCCATCACGCTTCCCGTCCTTCCTCGTCGCCCGGCGAACCCAACCCCAAGGGCTCCCGACGCCAGGAGCAATACAACTCCCGCTGTCCCAGTTCTGCCTGTAAAAAGCACCTGGGCTACGGTGGCCAGAAACGGACTGCAACAAAAAGCAGTCCTAACTGTAAAGGCTGTGCCGCGACCTGCGGCCAAAGCCTCAAAGAAAGAAGCTCCCAAGGCGAAAGTCGACAAACGACTGTTCCTTCGCCTTGAAAAGTAGCACCCGTGGCGCCAGCTTTCGCCTGCTGGCCTACGGCAACAAATACAGAGTGAGCTAGACTGCTTCTTGAGTGACGCCTGCTCTATACACCGTGTTAGAACCGGCTTTGCGATTCTGACAGGGAATGAAAAGAAAAGGGAATAGCTGCTAGATGCCGCACCAAAGTTTCCGGACTTCGGCGCCAAGCTCGAGGAAGCCTCCAACCTTGTCGCCTTTCGGATCGCGAATGTTACGGCGACTGTAAAAACAATCAACTGTATTCATACGGTCGATGCTGAGTGGATCTCATTGGAGATCTACCGAAAAACACATAAGCTTCCACACCAGGTGCTACCGCACGTGACATGCCGTCCTGGAGCGCCGTATAGAAATCGGAAAGCCCTTTTCACCCGGGACAACGCCCCTCGCCCGGGCTTCCGCATTCTCGACGAGGCTGGTTTGGCTACCATTCACAAGCCTCGTCCACAAATTGAACAGTGCAAACGCTGTTTGGGCTTCCACGCCACTCGTGGTTGCTCCCGCGCTCAAGCCGGCTGGAACTGCGGCTCTAACATGCACTCGGAAGCCGAGTGCAAGGCCCTCAATAAGTGTCGTAACTGTGGGGGACCTCACCGATCGGATTCCCGGGCCTGTCAGGTCAGACCCAAAAAATCCGGACCGGTGACCAAAGAGTAGCTCGCGTGGGTCCGCCACACAGAACAAAGGGAGTTCTCAAAGGTGGCACGAGCACGAGCAGCAGCAAAAAAGGCCGGAGAGCCGATCATCGCCGCTGCGAAGGACGTCTCGATGGCCGAGGCTACAGGTTTCGGAGCTCTGGAAGCTGAAAAAGAAGTTTGAGGACACAGCAACCTCGACGATGTCCCTTTCGGGGCATCTACTAATCATTAGCAGGATACCGGCTGGATCAAAGGTGCCTGCTAACTCATCTACTGCTCTCAGCAGAGATTAAGTAAATTTGTCATTTGGAAGGTGTGACGGACGAGGGAATGTGTGAGGAGCACATTGACTGGGTCCAACATGGAGGAATCTTCTGGTTTTTTCGGAGTTGTTTTGATTTTCTTGATTTTTTGTTTTTGTTTAATCAGCTGCACTTTTGGTAGCGATTCACGAGGTTGGAACGAGTTAGGCTGTAGGAAAAGTTACAGGGAACCCTGCCGGATCCGCCGGTCCTTGACCCAATGTGGATAAAGAGCTTTAGCTTAGAACCTATTCGCAATAAAAAAAGAAAAAAACCCTTCATCAATTACTCCCATTAACCATCACCTGACTTATCTCTGTACTCCATAATTTCAACACGGCCTCTAAATTCTCCAAGAAATGTTTGGTGCGACTGCATGACCTACTGCTGAGGTAATTCTATTATTTATTGACGCCCCGTTTAGTCTACATAGACATCAGAATATCGCAAAAGTTTGAATGATTGGAGCTATCAAGCAGGTGCCAGGAAATGCAGCGTGGTCAGCTGGTTGGCTAAGTGAAAACTGTCCACGTCTTCGGCAGTTAACTTGGGTACATCATTCTGTATTCACAGCATCATATCATATATTTTCCATAAACTACCACCTCTTTTAACCCTACCTTCGCAGTACCCTAATAGCAGGCAACGTGGTTGACCCACAAATGACCAAAAATCATGCACTTAGTTTCACCTCGGTAACAGTTTGGATGAATGCGTTCTACAAACTCATGTATGAGGGTCATTAGTTACTTTATAAATATAGACAAATTTGACACAATACGAATCTAGCGATGTAATCGGTATACAGTCACCAAAGACGGACATCTTAATTCAGCTAGCATCGAAAATTCGCGTTCACAGGCTCCATCTGAAAAATACCGTGCTTCAGGATTCCACGCTGTCGATGTTATACAAATCTCACACGACTCGGATGAGATTTCTCCTTTCTTAAATCACGATTACGACCTTCATTTTATCATATTATCTTCCTCCAGCAATCAATATCCTTGATGGCAGTCGCCATTTCGCTAGGCTAAGCTTAAGAAATACTCCCACAACAATACCCAATGTAATCGGAAGCGCTCGTTTAAAGGGGAGAGAGTTTGGCTTCTTCGCCATTAACTCTGAAGCTACAATTGCCCAAGGAATCCGTATGCGGGTGACTCGGTGAGCCGTAGGTTTTTCTGGCCTAGGTATACGAGTAGCTCTCTGATATTTTGTTGTCTTGTCAGACTATTACTTTTCCGAAAATGCGAATCATTAGTTGATAAATCAGCGGTATCTCCGTCTAACATTAATGCAGACCTGATTGATCCAACCTCATCAAAATGTTTGGCAATGAAGTCGATGATGGGATGATAATCATAACCTCTCGGTGAATTTTTTCTCACCAAGAGCCATGAATTATTCCGATTATCTTTTTGAAAAAGATTTAGATAGCCTTGGTGCCAAGCCAGCACAGTTTGCAGGCCGTTGGTCTCTCCTTCACAAATAAAGTTACTGCCGAGTACCAAGTCAGACATGGGAAATAGATCATCACTCAATATTCTTTGAAGATTAGACTTAGTCGGAGTAAGTGTTCCGTGATGAATACTCTGGACATAAAAGTTATTTTGAATAGCTAGTGTGTAGACCGTACTTGTGCTGCATAAAGTTTCGTCCAGTTCCTTGATGTTAATATCTCTATTTCTGGAGTGTTTTCTAAGTTGCTCTTTAATATGATGGAGACAGATTGTCTCCTCTGAAAGAGGCTGGTGAAAGCCGATATGAGAGTTATCTTCCATTTCTCTGATCCCTCTAGTTATGGCCCTCCTTAAATAAGTTGAGTCATGAGAGGGAGTGCAGTATATTGTCATATATGTGCCGGGCCCGTTGGTCCGGCTCGTAGCCATAATTACATCACTACCAGCTTTGATGCCGGGGAACTCGCGCATGCCGCCTGTCCGGTATATCCGGTAAAACTTGCTGTTCTGCTCGAATTTCATGATAGCTAGTCGGTCATTGTTTTTTGCCTCATGGCCCGTCAGCAAAAGGATGGCTAGAAGGCAGTACATTGTTGCGATCTGGATGCAGAAGCTGCGACGTCGGCTTGTGAAGTATTGTTTTATCTTCTACGGACTAGTAGCTCAGCGAAAGATTACAAGCTTCAATGTGATTTGTGATTTGTGATTTGCGATGCCGATTTCTGCCACCTCGTCTAAGATTGAACGAGCCTGAGGAGTCCTATTGCGATGAAGGGAAGGATTGGATTATCTTTACAGTAAGTAACTCGATTATATGACCCTGGTTGGCCACCAGAAATGTTATTCCTATCGTTTACTCATTTTGGTTGCCGGAGCTACACGAGTCGTGATGCTTGGCATATTCTTTTAATTATCTATATTCGCGAATGATTTATGATGAACGCTCAAGCTTTGTCATCTACATGCCACGAGAAGTCACGACTCGTGTCATAAAGAAAGCTGCTACCCGGAAATAATATTCCCACAGGTCATCAATTAGAAACACGCCGAAGGAGGCTGACATCGCGTCGACAGGCTGCCGTCCGGTTGGTTTAACGCAGACTGAGTGGGAGTAAGCCGCATCCGGAACGAGCCACTTAAAACTGCTGGCTTCAGGACGCCTTTTGAAGAGTCAGGGTGCATGGGATGATAACATCTACCAAGATTTGAAATAACGAGTGCGCCAAGCTTCTCATCATTTGTCGTTCCTGGAGCCGGATGGCCAGCAAGAATATTGCAGTGCCAAGATTATACACTTATCACTAGTGCCCACTATTATCCTGGGAGGGAGATATATTCATTCCTTTTACGGTCTTTTCTCAGTCCAAGACGATATTGGACACCTGAGCCCCTTCTGCCATCAGGCCAGACATGTCTATGCTAGAAGTATATATTGAAGGGTGGTGGAATATGTAGTCAATTAAATTCGGCATCTTCAATCGAACGGTAGTCACTACTCTAGAGAGTTAGGATACATTTGGGCGGTTGTTTCATTAGTGTATTGTGGATGCGAGATTTTCTCTGAAAGGCTAACCTATTGTGTTAGTGTTGTGATTGCTATGATATCACGTGGTGTTATCTATGCACTGACCTTTTGTAGATGATGAAAATTTATTCGTGACGGGCACAAGCCCTGCACTTAAAGAGAATGACACGGAGAAGGCTAGCTTCTCCGGCGATTATATACGACGATAGGGTTGGATGGTGCAGTGGTAGATCATTCGGGCCGTTCTCCCAAGTAGATGCTGGGTAGCTTGAACACCTACCTCATTCGAGATAGGAGAAAGCTGGTTCGAATCCAGTAAACCCACACACCACTTTCCCTCGCGGTGATATTGTGCTTGTGGGATGATGTGAGCACACCTGGATAGCCACAGGGTTTTCACGCTTTTCCCTGTGGTGGGTATGCACGGAAGAGGTTATACGCCGTAAGGTTAACCTCGAGTGGTATCTGTAAATGAAATCTGAGTGTGAGTGTTCTAATCGTCAAATTGAGTCATCCTACTTAAAGTACATATCTTCCGATAAAAACCTGCATGGGCCTCAAGGCGCCAAATCAGGAGAATTAATAATTATTATTATATACGACGATAACTCATTTTGACATTTGGACTACTCATGTAGTGGGTGCATTCGCTGATACCACTCGAGAACTTGGTGCTAGGGACTTTCACCCTTCCCTCAACCGTTAATATTCACCAAAGGGAAAACAGGAAAAAAACCTTTTGTTGAGCGGATTGGTTTGCAAAAGCTTGTGGCTGTTAGGCACTGTTGGTATGACAAAGGTCATACACTACAAGCCAATAGGTTCACTTGAAGTTATGAGAGTACTGCAGTACGTAATGAGAACAATTGTTCGATTGGGTTCGATTGATTATGTATATCTCTCCCCTAAACTATAGCCACGAAGTTGGTATCTATCCTCGGATAATAGTTTACCCGATATAAAAGAATTACAAAGAGAACTGTTATACATCATGCAGGGACCACCAACTCCAAACCCAAGATAGACTCAACCGAATTAATCGTTCCGACACTGGCAATCTCTTCTTTTGTGGGTTAAGTCATCAGATCAATACCGAGCAGCCAAAAGAAAATCATATCCTCTAAGTCTCCAAACTCCTTTTAACCCACCCTTGGACTCGCATCGTAAGTTTGTTATCGTTGATTAGTGTTTCTAATGCACAATTTGGGTTTGATTTTGTCATCGCATCAGCCGGGTTATCCGCACCGTGAATCCATCGAATGTCAGAAATTTCATGATTTTCGTACGCCTGGCGAAGGGCCATGATATCAATCATGAGTCTCTTTTCCTTCGTTGACCCGAGCTTGACCAGACATTCATATAACGAGAAGGAATCCGTACAGACAACAACCGGGATTGAAGGTACACCAAGCTGCGCCACAATATTGCAAATCGTCGTATTGATAGCAACAGTGACATCGACACCGTTAGACATTGCATATATTTCTGAGGCGAGAATGCTTCTTGTCACCCTTTTGCATTTTGTTGAAGACCAGTGTAGGATATTACCATTAATTGTGAAAGAGTCGTTTCCTGCTTCTTCATTAGCTAGGACAATGACATAGCCGATTTGTGAGCTTAGATCTCTATTGTTGGCGAAAGATCCGTCGACAAAAACGAAGAGACGCATTGAGTCTATGTCGAGCGGGATATACGTCAGTCCGCGGCTAACATTCTTGATCTGCCAACTAATACGCTTGTTCAACCTGGCAATATCTTCTTTTAGAGGTTCCTTGTATTGAGCTGCCGCAGATAAATCAAAGCTGGCTTCAGGTTGACAAATTGTAGCAAGGTATGCACCCCGAGCGCGTTGTTCAACGTATTCGTGAGTATTCGAGACGAGTTTCAGCTTTTCACCTTGGTTCTTATGTTTTAGTAAGAGGATATCGTTCGGCTGCCTTGACAGAATACAGCCATTAAACATCAATGGGTTATTCTCATCAAGAAATTGCTTTTCTTTCGCTTTGAAGTTGGCCTTATGAAGTTCATCTTCCTCTTGCTTTGCAAACGCCGCGTCCGTCATACCCAATGTATCATCAGTTTGCATTCCGACAACGCCAAAATATCTAGAACTTTTGGTTGTCATTAACAAGCATGGGTCATATGTTGAAGTTGTCATGTGTAGTTTTTCACAGTGATGCTTAAAATATGTAGCCCACCAATGAGCTCCAGCCTCTGCTATCCCGTAGAGTGGTTTGATGACGACCATAATAGTGTTATCTGGGTAGTAACCACGAATTTGCTCGGGTGGATATGCTAGAATAGTTCTTTGAAGTTTAGTTTGTGATTGCACATATGCTTGTGTGATATCACGAAGCCAAAGGTGCATGCCACGTTTGATCATTGATGGTGCTAGGGCCATAATAATTCGTTGACTAGCCCGCTGTATAGTTGGGCTTTGGGTTAGTACTGTTTTCTTTCCCTCATCATTGTAACCTTGGACTACTAGGCGTGATTTTTCATACGGGGTCTCAGTAAGCTCTCCTTTAATTTCGCGTACTATGCGAGACTTGAAGATTCGTATTTCACGGTGTTTTTGAGGGTCGAATTTTTCAAAGCGAAAGACGCCGCGCCCGATGAGAGATTCAATCTCTAGGCGATCTGACTCTTCAAATGGCTTGCCAGGGGTGGTTATTTTTCCTTCTCGACGTAGCCTGAGTGCCAAGGCTGCATCATGCTTCTCTTTTTCTGACATCCAAGTTGTGTAGGGGGTATTTTCTATGGCTATTTGCTTTGGAATATTCTTCGATCCTCTTGGACGTCCACGCTTACGTTTTTCGGTTTCCTTTTGCAGTGGTTCCTCATAGTCGTCATTGTCAGGCTCGTGACTCTGGGGTTCAGTGATTGGGTCATCGATATTTAGAGGATCAGGGATTATTGTGCTCTCATTGCGGTAGTAAGGTTTCACGGAGACCGTTCTAAAATTAGTTGCCTTGCCATTGACATCGACAGTACAAGTGACGTCATCATTGCTTCGAGCCAAGAGAATGTATGGTCCAGTCCAGCCAATATTTTCGCGCCAAACTTTCACCTCACTTTGTAGCGGGAGCTGTATTGTTTCGAGGATGTTTGGCCCGTTTCGCATCGATAGTCCTTCAGCAACCTGTCGTGTAGCTCTGAGTTTTCTGACTTCTGCCATTGCTTTACGTATGGCATTCGCACGTATCGAAATTGATGGTGACGATGGTGACAATTCTGAAATTCGTGGATAGGTTCCAAAGACCAGGAGGGTGGGCACTAATCCGTTAGGGCCAGCTGTGTCATTCACCGCCTTAACTGCCATCTGAAGTATATGATCCGAGGTCACCGTGGTTTCTAAGTCCGCTGAAATGACTTCATACGCACGTTTTAGGATATGATGATACCGTTCTACCTTACCGATCGAGTTGTGAGCCTCTACAGGGACTTCTTCAACTTTGATTGCCATTGCGTGAGCGTTGGCACGAAATTCCATGGCAGTGAGATTAGTTCCGGCATCTGTGACAACAACATCAGGAGGTCCGACGTACATGTCTACCCACATAGTGCGCAATGTGTCCCACGTAGTTTTAGCTGTCATATTAGTCATGAATCTTGCCGCTTGGAAAGCGGTGGCCTCATCAATGGCATGAAGTACTGGTTTTCTATTAATATACATGATATCAATTATAACGCGATAGTTAAATTCAATATCATCGTGCAGTGTAAATCGGAAACGACCAGGAGCGCTACCGTGCATCTAGCATTGATGACAGTATTTAGTGATCTTTGCGAGTGATTCACGATCCAGATTATCATATCCAGCACATGTTAAAACCTTGTATAGACGTTCAACAGCTGGATGACCAAATCTTCGGTGCAATTGACGTAATTCTAATTCTGTTAAGTGACACCAGGCGACTGATTTTTCACGGTCCTCAAGAAGAAGCCAAGGATGGCCCCACTTGCGTACAATTGGGTACTTCTTGTTATTATGAACTAAAATGTTCTCGATATTATTCAAGTAAACGCCGTAGCGATCCATATCAGATAGGCATAGCAGAAATGG